GGGGGGGATGTGTCTGTAGGTATGTACAAAATGTCATGTATATAAAATGGTTGCTTTTACGCACAAGGGGGCTATCTCGAAAAATATTTCAGTTTCTTTAAAAGACAAGGAGAGTTTTCTTTATAACCCAACACGTATACATAACAATGAAACCAAACTTTTCCTATAGGTAGAGCAATTCCCACTTTTAGTGTAGGTCAAGATTTCTGAAAACCCTCGAAATCTGGGTTAGCCCTCTTGTCCTTAAAAGCGACCAAATAACTTGTTGATTTTACAGAGCAGGGAAACTTATAACTTCTTGAAGAGATGTTGAACACGTATTTCTTTCGTAATTAGAACATGCACAAGGTGAAATTCGTACATGACGAAACTATTTCTATGTCCCACAGAGTTCATTAAGTGAGCGCTAGACTGTATTTCGATTTCGCTATATGAGTGCTAAACTGTAATTCGATTTCGCTATTACAGTGCAAAAATGTAATTCCATATTTCGCTATGTGGGTGCTAAACTGTAATTTCACATTTCGCTATGTGAGTGCTAAACTGTAATTCAATTTTGCTATGTGAGTGCTAGACTGTTATGCAATTATCAGAGTACATTGAGTGTTACCTGCCATGGTGAGGGTGAGGAAGAGCCAGCGAACGTCCACCACCAGACTACTGAGTGACCAGCCCGCCAGTGCCAGGAGACCGGACAGGAATACACACGCACGGCAGCTGGACACATTGATGACCACACTCGCCACTGGGCCTGGAAGGGGGATGGGGTGGAGATGGGGGTGAGGGGAATAGAATGGGGGGAGGAGATGAGGCGGGTAAAGAAGGTGGAAGGGGTGAGGTGTGGTAAGGGGGAGGTGGGTTGAACGAGGGGTTGGGAGGGTGTGGTAAAAAGGGGGACAAGGGAGAAGTAAAAGGGGGGGGGGAGGAGGCAAGGGGTGAGGAAGGGGGTGGCAACATTGAGCACTTACTTGTAAAACATGAAATAAAGACTAGAAGGAATGTACAACACATGTGTCCAAGCTAAAGATTTCTATTGTTTTTTCGGTTTTGAAATACCCTGTGATGATTTTGGTGTATTCTTTTTTAATCACCCTGTAGGCCCTATATCAAAATAAAATCAACACACTAAAGTGGAGTCTATGAGTGATTGAGTGTATTGGTCTTTTGCACCTACCAGAACTATTAGATTATTTAAGAGACCTCCAAATTTAACGTCCATCTCCGGTACGACCTAATCGATGGGTTGAGAGCCTCAAAAACTCAACAAAGTGACCCAAGATCAAGCATGCCCAGTTAGAAATTCAAACCAGAGCCATCAGCCCGGTAACCGAGCATCTGATTTACGTTACTCTGATTACAATTGGTGCTGACACATAATATTATATGGAAGACCCCGAAGAATGAATTGTTCCCAAGGAGTTTAGAAATAATGGAGCCTCCTCTCTCTCTTCGCGGCGCCGCGGCGCTTTTCCCTTTCGTCAACCCGCAGCCACCTCCCGAATCGTCAGCCACCCCCAACCTTTGACACGGGTCAAACTTCCATCTATTTATAGGTAGTTAAATCAACCGGAACATGTATTAGGCGTAGTGATGTGCAATGATAGTCGCAATAGAGAGATTGTTTTGGTC